ATATATATATATATATATATATATATATATATATATATAATTTAACCTGATTTTAAGCTTTTATTACTACTCAATTCTTTTCTCTTTCTATGAATTTTTTTTTTATATTATCGGTGGGAAATTTTATCATAACATCAATTTTTGAAACTACCTCTTTTCTTTGGTATCTCAATTTTTCATTATTAAGTTAAACTTGATAGTTCTGTATGATATTTTAAATACTTAAAATATAATAAATGTTTTCTTATAAACATAATTCGTGTGATATCTTTTTTTTATATGATGATGTACTTCGTACATTTATATATAAAAATAAAATAAAAATAAAAATAAAATAATAAAAGTATATTAATCTAATCGATATTATGATTAATTTATTAATTTTAAGTTCTTAAATTTGATTAAAAAATATTTTTTAAAATTTTTTTAAATAAAAGGATATAATGGTAAAAAAAAGTGGAGATCAATGCGGTTACTGAAAGGGGTATCCCTTTATATATTAGTATAGATAACTCTATTAAACCAGTCAAGTTCAATTTTATAATTGTATCATAAAATTAAAAATAATTATTATTTCAAAGAACTAAATCATCCAATTTAAAATAAACAATCAAAATAAATCTTAAAAATATGATAAAGAATTAAAAATTATTTAACAAATTATTGGTGTAGTACTTTAATACAATGTTGCATCAACATGAAATTCTATTGATTGCATTGTTTCACCAACAATTTCATAAAGTATAATTAAACCTAAAATATAAATAATTAAGTTTAAAATACAATAATCATATTTACATAAATTTCATTACGGAAGACAATAACCTTATTTACATAAATTTTAATTACAAAAGCTAAAATTTATTTAAGTGATCTATCTTTATCAAATGTCTCAATGATATTTAATATTTTAAAACTAGTTTGATTAAAATTATCTATACTTATAATTTTAAATCAATCATTCATGAAAATAAGGACACCCAAGTGAGTTAATATTTGTAATTTTTAATTATTTATTCTTAAACTTTTAAATCAATCATTTGCAATGGAAAGTATTACTTTATATGTAAAATGAAGTAGTGCTGCAATCTATTTTTTCCTCATGAACCAAAAAGTTAATATTTTGTTTCTTTAATTTAAATTGACGAATAATCATAATATTATCTTATACATTGATTTGAAATAATGAAATAAAGTATTAAATAGTTTTTAAATTTTTAAAAAATTACAGACTTGATATATGAATTAAAAATTTTGAATTTAACAATTGAATCGTTGAAATTTGATGTAGAATATAAGATATTGAATGAAACAAGACTAGATAGACTTATTCTTGAAGTAAGTGAATCTTTCCTCTACGTAAAACATCAGATTTTAATAATATAAATGTTAAATTAAAAATTTTTGATACATAAATTAAGTATACAATTTTTTAAAAACTTTAAAAACTATTTGATAATCAATTTATTAAATTTAAATCAATGTATATTTTTTTTTAATTATTTATTAATTTAAATTAATAAAATAAAATATGAAATATTTTTGTAATTCATTTCCAATTTTGGTCATTTTCAAATGCTTTTATACTTAAGCTTTTATTATCTATGTAAATTATATACATCGAAGTAAATACTAATAATGTCATATTAATTAATGAAAACATAATTATTTTTTATATTCTTTATTATCACTATAGGAGTGTTCATGTCTTCATTAGTTATTTATTAATAAAATATTAAAAAATTGTGTATTTAAAAAGATTTTTTTTTATTTTTACATTTAGAATATAATGATCCATTAAAAAATATTAGATAGTTAACATATAATTGTATTACATTTTCAACTATATTTAAGCTGCATCGTAAGAAAATAAACATAATTTATATATTAAAATTTGAATGAATTAAAAAAATAAAATAATTGGTGCATCCCGTATCTAGTTACTAGGATCGTAAAGGAGGCTCTATTTTAGGTTTTTGTTTTTGTTATATTATTTAATTAAACAAAGAAGTGAATAACTGAAAAGAATTCCGGCACAAGAACGCTGAACGAAAAGAAAACCCACTCATCTCAAATTTGCAACACACACACACACACTGCAGATAACAAAGGTAATAACGCTCTTCTCTCTTCAATTCCTCACATTTTCCTTCCACCCCATTCCGATCTCCGCCGATCTTACCACAGTAAACTTCAATTTGCGTTTCATTTCTGCATTAAACGAATGAGGGTTCTTAACTTAGGGTTTTCACTTAGCACCCACGAACCAATTTTCCAATTTCAACTCTTGTGCTGTGAACACGCTTTAATTTATTTGTCGATTGATCTGTAACTGTAAGCCCTTTTTCTTTTGAATTTTAAGATGGAAATTGTCTTTCTTACAATCTGTGTCAGAGGCCATGTTCTTTTGAATATATGCTTGGATGTTAGACCTAGCCCTAGGCTAATTGGTTGTCTTTATTTCATCAATGTTATTTGGGGTTATTAAGAACTTAGGTAGGAGGTTGCACAGAAGAACAATTTTTTTAAATCTACCGTTAGTTTTTCTGGATAAGGAATGGGTGTGTTATATATTGTGAACTGCGATTATTGTTTTGATCCGGGGATTTTGTTCTGCGGAAATTTCAGATTTTGCTGGCTTGATGGCATCAAAGTTGCAGCAGTTGCAGTCCAAAGCATGTGAAGCATCAAAATTTGTTGCCAAACATGGAACTACATACTACAGACAATTGTTGGAGCAGAACAAGCAGTACATCCAGGAACCACCTACAGTGGAGAAATGCAACGAGTTGGCGAAGCAATTGTTTTACACCCGCCTTGCTAGGTTACTTTTCTCTTAACTATTTTTTTTTTCTCGCTAACAACAAGTAATGTTATTTCTGTTAAATTTACTGATTAAGATTCTTGATTTGATATGATTGATGTCAATATCTTATCGATTTCAAAGATTGTTGTTGGGGTTCTTTACGAAAGTTGGATGTTGCCATCGTGTTAATAGCTCATTCCTTTCTCTTAGCTCTTATTGTTGAGTTAAAGAGACAAACGCAGGACTGTTATCCTTTGCTTTCCCTTTCAAAGACCTTTTGGAGTGTAGAATTGCATTTGCATTTTGTCCTTTTTCTTAATATGAACTGTTAAAGAGGTGGCTTTTGAATTTCCTGATAAATGGAATGAATGCTAATGAACTATATGATGTCCTTGTTGTGTATATATGTTGACTGTATGAATAGAATTAGAAGCAGCTCATAATGTGCTTGTGATGCCGGATAAGCTCCATTATTTTAGGTATACCTAGCCCAACTATTTTGGGCTCTCCTTAAAAGGAAAAGCTGGGTCAAATATAATGTTCGACAGGATAAAATTTAGATGCAGTTTTTTAGGTGCTTTTGGTATTATTCTCCAATAAGATTGGAGTTTCACCTTAGTAATTTGCACACCAAAGGTTTGTATTAAAAGTCAATGTAAGTTATATAGGTGAAACATCAATTCTAGTTGGAGTACAGTAACATAAAGTACCTAAGGAACCACATCTAATGCAAGTTTTCTAGGTGAAATATCAATTCTAATTGAAGAATAGTAACAAAAAGTACGTAAGGAATGACATGGGAGTTTTGTCCCTTTGCAAAGGCACATAGAAATAAAACTAGTTTTCTTTTTTGGCTAATGAACAAAGGTTGAAAAAATTGAGTTTCTGTAGGAGCTAACTGGAGGAGCTTTTACGTTTAAAGAGCATAAGCCTACAAAAATTGAGTTAAACACTACCTTAATTAAGAGCTTTATTGTTAACTTATGTAAATGTGCTCCACAACCCACACTACGTTGTTTATCTATGCTTATATGAACATATGTCCAAACTGGTGTGTTTGATTCTTTGTTTCTAAAATCTAAATTCAAACAGGATATTTAAGTCAGACTTGCATCCCAATTTATTAGTGAATAGCTAAATGAAAGGCAATGAATTTTGAAAGCCTGTCCTACCTGGTATTTAATGTTTGCTACTTGCCTAGTGATCTTGTGTTTTTCTCTTGTAGCAAAAGGAGTTTGTTTTGTGCACTGCAGAATTGTATACATATTATTAGTTTCTACTGCAATGCATAACTCTTCCAATGTTATACAGTATTCCTGGTCGCAATGAATCCTTCTGGAAAGAGCTTGATTACGTCAAGAATCTATGGAAGAACAAGCAAGAGCTAAAGGTGGAAAATGTAGGTATTGCTGCTTTGTTTGGCCTGGAATGCTTTGCCTGGTATTGGGCTGGTGAGATCGTTGGTAGGGGATTCACTTTCACTGGTTATTATGTCTGAAAATAACAACCTCGAAGCGTTTGTTTTAGCAAGGGGGTTTTATACTCCTAAGCAGTTGCTCTGGTCATTTATACATTGCGTGGATTATGGGGCATTCATTCTACAACCCAATTTTTGTTATTTTGGATTTTTGTTTCTGAAAAAGCTGAGAAACTAGCGGCTAACTTTGATAAGCCTCAATAACCCCCTTGTATTTGAATCGGGACGAACCATGCTTTGTTCTCAATCTCATATCATGTTAAAGTTAGTGGTACACAAGAATGATGACGCTATCAGTCTATTACAAGTTTTCGTTTTCCTCTAAATGATTTAGATAACTCCCCAGTTTCACCTGAAATGAAGTTAGTTTGTCCATATTTCATATCGTTTTTTGGGCCTGATGTTGAATTAATTGGGTTCAGCCACATGGTGGCGAACTTTGATATCTAGAAGTACGTGACTTGTGGTTGTCATCTGCAGTATTTTAAGCTTAAATAGATTAATAAGATGCATGCTGTCTGACCCATAGTGTTGGTTTGGCGTATAATTTTCCAAATTTATTGATATAATTGATGTGAAAACACTTGCCTTGTGAAGCAAACAATTGATACTTTGACAGAGCAATGTGGTCAACATTATGATGAAGATGACTTTCTGACACGGCACACAAAATTTCTAGGCCATTGTATTTAGGGGTAATCAATGGTCTGATGTAGTCGATTTCATGTTGATATAATCTAGACCAATATAATTCACGGGTTATATTTAGATCCGAATATGACTAAATAGCTTATTAGTTTAGGTGAGTCTTGATTATAATGGTGATTTTTTATGGGTAAAGATGTATTGAACTTTTAATTATTTAATTGGTCCAAATAAAGTTTTTATTCAATTAATTATTTATTTCTTTTCAATTGTTGTATTTTTTTTTTTGTATTTTTTATATTTAGCTTTTCAAATATTATTTAGTTTGTTTAGACTCAAAATGAATAAAATTATTTAAGTTTTAAATAATTTAAATATTATAATAATTTTTTAGGTACATTATACAAAAAATGAAGTTACTCACTATATTCTCAAATAGAGTTTTGTGTATCAATAATATAGATTAAAGATGAAATAAACTAAGTTTAATTTTTGGGGTTGAATGATAATTATTTTGATCTTTATTTTATTTGGATGATTGCGTTTGGATACTGGTGGATCCAAAAAAATCAAATCAATTTCGATCGAAATGAACTATTTTTAAATTCGTTTAAATTGATAATATGTTTGAGTCCATCCATTTATTATTTTTTTCTTTTGATTATTTTGATTTTGAATAGGGTCTCGGGTATCGAAAGTTTTGTATTAGATTTTTATCAATTGAATAGTCTCAATTATATTTATACGAGTAACATGAGTAATGATATAAAGCAATTTATACAATAATTTATAAAATGTTATTTTTTATGTCTATTTTTAAATAATTGATTATATTTTAAATTTCTCTCTTTTTATTGTACATGTATTACTTTTCATATTCTTTTTGGGACGTTAATAAATAAATTATATTCTTCTTGGCACGAAATCACCTACACAGTATCATTTCTGAATAATGTATATTTTTTCCTGCTAAACAACATTTTAATTATGCATTCTTTTGTGGCGTGTTATCACAATTTTGATATTTCAAACTTGAATGTTATGAACACGGTTTGACACAAGTGGACTCAGCAACTCCATTTAAATTCTAGCTCAATTTCGTTATAATCGTAGTAATATTGAATCCATATAATGTACAAGAATATACATAAGCAGCAGAAGGACAACGAAATTGTGGTTGGTAGTGGTACAACCTTGATCGTCCATCATAAATCTAAATAAGTAAAAACTAAATTTAAGGAGGCTGCAGTATGTCCATTGTTTTGGTAACAATCTGAAGGGCAGTTTGGTAATTTGGACGTTCCTTGCAACCAAACACAACGTTACTAAAGGATGCTTTTGGCGCAAATAGCGAAGGGGGGGAGGAGAATTGAACGTCAACACTTTCTTCAATTCAATTCAATTCAGCCTTGGATTTGACTCCGCAAAATGTCACGCGCCACCGCCGCATTCCGATTCCTCCTCTGTCTCCTCCTCGCCGCCGCCGTCAACTGCTCCGCCCAGGCAAACTGCAGCCGGACATGCATTGCCCAGCAGTGCGACAGTAATATTCCATTCCCCTTTTCCTTTTCTTTTTCATTGCTATTTCTATTACTTGAGTTCATGCTATTGCTACGTTAAACAACAATTTCTTAATTATTATTATTATTGTTGTTGTTGATTAATTAAATCAGCGATCGGAATCAAATACGGCAAGTATTGCGGGGTCGGGTATACTGGTTGCGCTGGCGAGCAACCATGCGATGATCTTGATGCTTGTTGCATGGACCATGACAACTGCGTTGACAAATTTGGTATTTTTCCCGTTTTCCCTCTCTCTTAATTAATATTCACGATTATGGGAATGGGAATGGGATGACACATAATAATGCCATCTCCATTCAATGTCGCCATAATATGTGTCCTACCACATTCTACTGCTGCAACATTAAAATTACTTCTATTTCCAAATTGGTGCTGTTATCCTTGTTTGTTTTTACGAATTGGGTGTGCTAACGTGTTCGCTAGTTATGAAATCAAAAGTAGAAAGTTTTTATTGAAAATTATATTTACACCTTCTTTAATGTAACTTTATTTTAGTTTTTTGATGAAAACTTTTAATATATTGATTCTTTAGCTAGTATCCTAGGACCAGGGTACTGGCTAGCAAAACCCTTATAAATTTATTATGTCTTTTGATGATTGCATTTTGCTGTTTGCATTATGAGGAACTCAAATCCTAGGGGAAACCCTGTCTGATTTTCTTCTATTCATGGCTCCATTGTAACTTATTCTTGGGTTGAATCAATTCTGTAAATTGTTCGAATGGGAAACCAATTCTTGGTGCGTGTATTGGATGCTTAAAATCTTGTTTGGTATTCCATTGTCAGAAATTTATATTTTTCTGCTCTGTGGATAATCCCAAACCTGACAGGAAAAAAACAAACTCATGTTCTTTATACTTTTGGATGGAATATCTGATTTAAATTTGTTGTGGTGTTAGTGTGATTAAAGGGTATTTTATAGTTTATAAGCATAGGTTCACAAAAATACAGAGTAAATCAATATTCTAGTTATTGATGTTGCAAGTGTCGGTCACTTTACTTCCTGAATTTACAAATTCTGCACCTTAGTCTCTGTTTTTATTAAAAATCAGATTTTTATTTTTATTTTTTTGTTTCAATTTCCACCAATGTTTTGTTGAAAAGGATCAAAGCAAATATCATTGTTTTATAAAATTAAGGAGTAAAATAATTTTTTTTTGTAAAATCAAAGTCAAAATTACCAACACTTTAAACTTTAAGGATCAAAAATAGATATTTACCCAAGAAATTGAGTTGTAGTGTGGAAACTGGAAGGTTTAAAATTATGTCAAAAACTCTTATGATTGAGAAGTAAATTTGTATGCGAAAACGCTCATCCTCCTGTAATTATTTCTGCATTTTCTATTAGCTAGTTTGAGACTTTTGTCTTCAGAAGATTCCTTTAGAGTTTAGGCTAATTAAACATGGTTTTACAGGAATGACTCATGTGAAATGCCATCAGAGATTAAAGAATTGCCTAACCAGGGGATTTAAATCCGGTAAGGCTGGATTTTCCTCGGAGTGTCCCGTTAGTATAGCTGCACCTACGATGATAAGAGGCATGGACTTGGCCATCTTGCTGAGCCAATTGGGTGACTCCATTCATGATCTGTAACAAACTGAATCCCTCTTGGTGTAATCCATACTCCTCCCCGGATTAACAAATTTCTCTTGATTCACATTAAACAAACTTCTCTTGATTCGGGAAAGTTGATCTTTATGAGTTATGATTCTGTTGGGCATCATTAGGCCACTGTTATTTATTTTCTGTGTTCGTGTTTAATTTATGATATCAAAAAAGAACCCAATAGTGGTTTTGAACAACGATGTACTATCATTATTGGAAGAAATGGCAAAATTGTTTCTCACAGAAGTAAAAATTCGTAGAACTATGAAATTACTACTGTTTATTTATGTCATGGTTTTGGTTTGGATTGGAGAATATAAAGGATTAAATGAGCCATTTTGGAGTTCGCAAATAAAGGCTGTGTTTGGATTTTCGTTTGGAGTGCTCCAAACTTGATTTGGGGAATAAACTCAGTTTTATGACATGGTTGATTACCTTCAAAAGTACATTTGCATTCTTATTTTGCCTGAAACTTTGTTTCATAAAAGCAAGGCCAAGGTTTTTTTGAAGACTCAATTTGCAAAATGAAAAACTATGCAAACTTAAGTTTACTAACCTAATCCAAACATACACATATTCATTCATCCGCCCCAGAGAGGGAATATGTTTTTAAAAGAATCTCACTTTAGTAAATTGTTTTTAAACAACCATAGTTTGTTCAAAGGACCCATAACATCATTTCTCGAGGTTATGTGATGCTGTCATTATTTCACACTTGTCATCTATGACTACTATATTCCCATATTCCAATGGTCCACTTACGGAAAACTAACGTAAAATTGACGTAATATTACTTTAATCACTCATATGACCATATCCATATTTCAGAGTCTCAAATGTCAAGTTAGAAGTTCTGATTTTAATTGGAGTGGCAGTGACTTGAATTAATGATTCAAAGAATTTGTAGCACCATTTTGCTGTGTGTGAAGGCAAGGAGACTGTGGTCAATGTTAGATCATATCATCTAACTAATCTGATACACAACTTGTGTTTTTGGTAGTGTTAAAAAAGTCTCAAATTATAGTTACTAAGAAAAAAAAGAGTCTCTTACAAGTGTTCTCTTTTCACTAAAGTAACTTTAGTCATCAGGTAGATATTGATTTCTTCCAAGTGTAAGAGTCTTTTCCTTATATACAACTAAGAATATAATTCCAACTAAGAATTAAATCATAACTATGATATTTAAGGGATTTAATTATCTCCTATAATTTTCTCTCATGTTTATATCAAAAAAATCATTTATAAATAATAAATAGCCCCCACTTGAAAGAAAAATATAATTCAGCTCAACATTTTTTTAACTATGTTATTAGTACAAAATATTTTTGTCAACTTGACCGACTATTTTTAAGGGGTATTTCTTAATTACATATTTTGTATACATAAGACTTGAACTTAAGATTTTGTTTAAGAAGATTGAATTTAGTGTCATTCAAACTAACGATTTGTAGAAAAAGTAACTTATGAAAAAGTAACTAATAATCTTCTTATAATTTTTTAGCCTATTTCGATAAGTTTTATTGAGAAGCTTGTGTAAAAAAGTTCTTTGTAATTTATTTCAATAAATTTTACAATTTTTCCTTACAATCTTTTATAACTGTTTTTTCGTAAACAATGATAAAAAAAAGGGATTGAATCATTGACCATGTACTTAAAGTACAATCAACCATATCATATTTTATTGGTAATTTTATAACCAATTTTATGAATAAGATATCATTAGATAAATTGATTTAGTATTAATGCATGTGTAAATCAACTAATACCAAATTATTTTAACTTTATCAATGATCTCGTGTTTGAGTCTTGAGTGTGCAACTATATTAAATAAATTTTTTTCTTGTGGATGATACATGTTGTTTATAAAAAATATAATTTTATCTATTATATTGTAATAATTAAACACACTTGGAATAGTATTAACAAGCTCAATTGTTAATGTATTTTTTTGTCATTTATTTAATTTTCTACATTCATAATTTAATGAATCCATCATCACTTGTAATAGAACCACTAGGGTTGACATAGTGGTAAGGAGTTGGAGTAGAATGCACAAGGTCTTAGATTCAAAATTTGGTACTATTATTGTAATTTTGATGAAATATAATTAATTGTCGTGTAAAAAACTTTACAAGTGAGTATATATATAGGAAGGAAAATTAACCCACCATGCGATGCTGAAGAAGAAACCGCACAGTATCTCTAACACCAGAGGAAATAAGATTGGAAGTGAAACCCAGAAACACTTTACACGTCACACATTTTCGGTTCTCCAAAATCAATTCCTGTCCGCTGCATTCGTCGGTTATGGGTTCATCAGACAACCTCCAATCTAGCTTCAATTCAAAAACGGCAATTTTATAAGCGCAAAAGCACAAAACGACGTAAACAAAGAGATAGTAGGGTTAGAGAAGAAAAAAAAAAAAAAACCATTTGATTAACGACTTGGATGGCATCACCGAGGTTCGAAGCCTGAAAACCAGTGGCAACCATAGACTTGAGTAGCAGCGGATAATTGACGCCAAGGTTGAAGTCATAACCCTCAATCTTAACACACTTTCCATCGAGGTTTTCTGACTCCTTGAACACAATGGAGTGAACTGATGCTAACACTTCTTCTTCTTTTCCCTTTCCCTTTTCCTCTCCCATTATTCTCTCTTTTTTCAGCGCACAACCAAGACCGTGTTTTTATGTAAGGCCTTTAAATTTAATAATTCACCAAAAAAAAATATATAAGGCCTTTAATTGGGCCTCTCTGTGTTTTAATTGGGCCTTTTAAGTTTACCCTTTTTTCTACGGGCCAAGCCCATTAGGGTTAGGGTTATGTTATATTTGAGTGGAGACCCCTCTTTCGTTCTCTGTTTAGTGTTGAACGCTGCCGAAACCCTTCCCAATCCCTAAGGTTTCTCTTCCTCTCCGATTTTCTTAGAAAATCTTAAATTTCGTAGGTTTTGCGACGTAATTTGTGACAGTGTTGTATTTTGTTGTGCAGGTAAGTGAGTGGTGGGAGAGTGAAAATGGTGGAGAAGGCCAAGGGTAGAAAGGAGGAGGTGGTGACCAGAGAGTACACCATTAATCTCCACAAGCGCCTCCATGGCTGGTAATCTATCTACCTTTTCTTTTCTGATTACTGTGTTTTTTCTGCATTATTAATGTCTATTTATTAAATTGAACCAACTTCGATTCTTTATGCTCCAATAATCACTTTAGATGTGCTTATTGGTTTATGCTAAAGCTGAAAGAAAAATTGTTAGTAACCAGTCCTAGCAAAGTTGAGTGGTATACATGGTCCTTTGGATCTAGTTTTTCGTGGTTATAGAATATTAGAGATTAGAAACCATAGCAACCATAAATAATTTTTTTTGTGCCTTTAGGTTTTTTATCTTTAGTTTTATTTCTTGCGTTTCATTTTGAGATCTGTCAGGGCATTGATCTAAAATTCATCTTCGTTTGATATTAATAAATAATTGCATAAAATATTTGTTTATTATGACCTAAGTCTTTTTATTGCTTTTATGTTTTGTTGATATTAGTAGTCTTAGTGGTTCTTGTTTGGTTTGTTCTCATGTAAAACAGCACATTTAAGAAGAAGGCCCCCAAGGCGATTAAGGAAATTAGGAAGTTTGCTCAAAAAGCCATGGGGACCAATGATGTGAGGGTGGATGTGAAGTTGAACAAGTATGTCTGGAGTCAGGGAATCAGAAGTGTTCCAAGGAGGATTCGGGTGCGCATTGCTCGCAAGAGGAATGATGATGAAGACGCCAAGGAAGAGCTATATTCTCTTGTCACGGTTGTTGAAATACCCAAGGATGAGCTCAAAGGGTTGGGCACCAAGGTTATTGACGATGAAGATTGATTTATCTGTTTGAAACCTTGAGACATATAAGTAGTTTTTTGTTTCCGCAATTGAGTCGTCTTTTTTAGATTATCAAGTTACTCCTAATTTTGTTGAGCTGCTTCGGATTTTGTTGAGACAATGTGGTTTGATAATATCAATTTAGTTTTTGCTCTTGCTGTTGTGTTTGTGTTAATGAAAACGAAACATTGATTTTGGCCTTCATTCCTTGTGTCTTGGTAATGAGATGATGAAGAATTGTATACACTGGGTTTTAATAAAACAATTGTTATGGAAAAAAAATGGAATGAGGGAATTTAGGGTTTGTTTTTGCTGTTTTACTGGGATGAGGGAGTATTGTGGAAGCCATTTGAATGGAATATAAACTTAACAATCGGCAGTTGTAAGATTAGTATCAGCCGAAATTTAAAATTTAGGTTTTTGAAGTTGAACTGCTTTTCAGCTATTGAGGATTGTTCACGGTTTGTATTAAAAGTTTACACTTGCCTCTAGCTTGAGTGTATACACAATTTATTTATTTTTATTTGAAGCGAAAACGATCAATGTTAATGTAAATTAGTGAGCATTGTTGATGTAAAGTAATAACTTTTCGAAACACCAATTGTTGGCAAAAACTGAACCTGACGACGCACGGAAACAAATGATTGTTCATCAAGGTCTCCTTGTTACATTTGAAACAGCCTTTGTTCAGGGTTTGTAATCAAAACAAACCCAAGATTATTGGTAATCCTAATTGGCATTCCAGCAGCAGTGTGGATGCTCTCATATATTCAAAAGTGATTACAATGTGTAGGAGAAACACTTAAGTAGGGACGGTTTTGGCACCTAGACTAAACTACACAAGTTGGCGCCTAAAATTTGAATTCAAATTGGAAATTTGAATTCAAATTTTGGTGCACATGGGTGTGGCCGTGAGTTTAGGTATCTAATGTGCATCTAGGTCTGATTTGAGAGTCATTTAGGGTTAATTTGAGTGTCACATGTTCAACCACCATTTGGTGCAAAACATGTGACTCAAATGTAACTTAAATGGCTTCCAAATTAAACCTTTCTCAATGTAGAAATAATATATATATATATATATATATATATTCTATTTAATTTATTAACTTAAAAATTAGTTAAAATTAGTCAATATATAAGTAATTTTTACTTATTTTTTATTATAACATTATATTTATTTTTATTATAAATGTGGTATTTTTTAACGGTAATCATTAAATTTTGTAAAATGTCCGTATGATAATTTATTAGAAGAAAATGAAAAAGTTTGTAAATATTTTCTATATATTCTAGTCGGTAAAATTAAGATTTCAAACAATATATGAAATTAAAAATTTGATTTTAAATCAAAGTAACATGAAGAAAAAGATAATAATGAAAATTTTCCATAGAAATTATTATTGTTGGCCGAAATTTTTCACTTAACAAGAACATTTTTTCTTGGTATGACTTGCATTCCTGTATATGAAACATCTTTTCGATTGATCAGGTTCTCTTGTTACATTGTGGCTAATATTGTTTATTGGACAACTCTCAACAATCCTTTGTATATATTGGACATATATTTCAATGCATAAACATGATGTATATAAGACATGTAATCATTATAAACATATTAACAAACAACAATGGCATATGAACAACACAAGACATGTATACTTTTAAGAATTTGTTCGTGTAACGATTGAACAGGTCTTGCTACTAAACAACCAATGCGTAGTGGAAGATTAAGTAACATATATTAGGATTAAAATTTTATATTACAACTAGTAACTAATATTAAATATATACATACTATATACAAAATACAATACCAATTGTAGAATAAACCTCAATCTTAGTAGAGGTATATACAAAACCTGACTATATAAGAGTAACCATCAACAAAAAATCTAGTCACCTCCAACATGATTAGCCTCCAATTGCACAAGTCATTGTGTTAATCCTATCATATTCTGATACCAAGTATGATTATTATAATTCCAGTCACAAGGAAAACATAGAGTAAGTTTGTAAAAAGAATTCAACATAACAACTTATGAAAACATCATCATATTAAAACATTTCAATTTAGAACGGGACATCATCATAGCAACTTAACATCTCACAGTATGTTCATCTCATCAACATATATACATATACATCATCTAATGTGTCATTTTACATATCAACTATAAAGATCTCCTACATCTTAGGTTGAATAGTTTAAGGGGATTCACACTACCGAATTACAATGGTCAATATAACATAAAAATTGAAATACTTTTTAACAATAACTATCAAATCAAACAATAAGGTTATGAGATGTCAATCTTACATGTCATATAACACTACATTTTATCTAAGGAAAATGATTGAAATTCCGAGCGCGTGTGCCGAATTCATTTTGAATCATTAAAATAATAATTTAAAGTATAAAATATTTAATTAAATAATTATTTTATAATAAATTTATTAAAAAATATTAATATTTTAAAGTTTCGAATGATAATTCGGATAACCAATTGTACTCTCTAGCATAACTCTTTATCTAATTTTAGTGTGAATTTTGCATCATAAAAACGGAAGTACTTTTTCCTGTCTTGTGAATACCCGTCATACATAAAGGAAGTACTTTTTCCCTCCTTTTTCGTTAACTATAGTGTAACACAATAAAAATTGACCACGTTCAATAGATAGTTGTCAAAACCAGATGTAGACATGCTTATTGTTAAAACAATATTTTATTTACTAAAGTTTAATAGTCATAGCTTTCATTTTTCAATGTAAATTTTACGCTATTAATTAATAAATTTTTATTATTCGTATGATTTTTAAAATATAGTTTATGATTAAAATGTTATTTTTTCCCTTAAAATTAAAAAGGATTAACAATATATTTCTTTTAATACATTATTTATTATTTAACATCAGTTTAAATTTATTAAAAATAATAAAATTATGAGTGATATTCAATTATTCATTAAATAAAAAAAATAAAAAAAAATATTAATAAAAAAAAGTAAATTCCTAAAAGCAATATTTGGAGAAGCTAGTCGGAAAGCAACTCGTACTAAACTCAATAAATAAAGTAGATAAGAAATTTGAACTTTGAAGTGAGGTGTATTAATGATTTCCATGTGGCTTCCCGCACAGAATTACTCCTTGATTGCGTAGAAACAAGAGAAAGGTTTCTTCGCCTCGTATTCGTTTGTCAGGTTTCGACGAAAGTTCAGTTCCCATAAAAATTAATACTCGTTTTCCCTCTTTCTTCGCCCGCAAGATCCATTCATCTTCTTCTTCGTCTTCGTCTTCCAGTTTGCCTTGCACATAATTATTCTTTGATAAATAAGGGATTCCTTAATTCTTTAGTTCGTGTATAAAATTATGTTGCATAGGAGCTTCAAGCCCGCAAAGTGGTACGTCTTCGATCGATTCAATTCGATTTCAATTTATATGGTTTTGAGTTTCGATTGAAGGCAGTTGAATTGAATTTGTTGGTGCAGCAAAACGGCATTGAAGCTCGCCGTTTCACGCATAAAGCTTTTGAAGAATAAGAGAGAAGCGCAAGTGAAGCAACTCAGGAGAGAGTTGGCTCAATTGCTCCAGTCTGGTCAGGACCAAACTGCTAGAATCCGGGTAACAATACACAATTAACGACATAACACGATTTTATGTTGTTGTTTTTTCCTCTGTTTTTCTGCTAATTGAGATATTTTTATTTTTTATTCCCTTTTCATTAGGGTTCTCTTTGTGTTGATGATGAAGAAAATAAATATGGAATGATTGAGTGTTTTTCTTTTTAAATGACTTTTCGTGTGTTTGGTGTGCAGGTTGAACATGTTGTCAGGGAAGAGAAGACGATGGCAGCTTATGACCTTGTTGAGATATACTGTGAACTCATCGCAGCACGCTTGCCCATGATTGAATCACAAAAGTATTTGAACTTCGCCATATTATTTGTTCCTTTTCCGCACATTTTGCTTTGTTTTTTTGATTCATTTTGCGTCGATGAACAGTTATCATTGTTTTCAAATATGTTTGCTATTTTATGGGGAGGGAATATAAACTTTTATTTTTTCGCTTATGTAGATTGATTTGCATGTAAGTTATTATATTTAGTGATTTCGTCAATACCATTGCATTTGTGTATATTATTATTCTGTTAGGATTTTTCAACCAGATGTAGTCAATACCATTACTTTTAAAGTGTATATGCTAATTGTATAACTGAGGTGGTTCAAGTCAGACTGGGGCTTGATTATATATGTAGCAAAATAAAAATAACTAAATAAAGGACCCTTTGATTAAAATAATATTTCATCTTTTCAGTTTTGGTAAATCTGATTTCTTACAGAAACTGTCCGTTATGCTTTATATCTAGATAGAGCATTGATCAACGAGTTTTTATTTTTTATCTCATTGCACAATGGAAGAATTTTAAGCGGTGCATTTGGTGCAGATGGAGTTGCAAAGTCCCTGGATCAATAACCATCCTCAACTGATTATGTAACATGCTAGTGCCTCTTGTTAGCTTCATTCCTAATAATATTTTAGGCTTCATTTACAGAATTTGTGGTGTTTTGTTGTTAAAATCATGTTTGAATTGCTATTTTATGTTAATCATGAATGCAAATGTTTACAGTGGCCACAGAATGTCTGTCTTTTGTTTTGACATTAATTGTGCGTGTCTGAAGGAATTAGTGCATGGGTTTTCGAATTATGAAAATATTGATCGTGCAGTTTATAAGTTTGTTCATTATGATTGTACATTCTCATTGCATTGATGTCATTATTATTTCTCTTTTTTAAACATTTTTCAGAAATTGCCCCATTGACTTGAAGGAAGCAGTTTCAAGTGTAATATTTGCAACTCCAAGATGTTCAGACATACCTGAGCTCGTGGATGTGAAGAAGCATATGACATCTAAGTATGGTAAAGAATTTGTCTCAGCAGCTATTGAGTTACGCCCTGACTGTGGTGTAAATCGCATGGTAAGTTTCTCTACCTGCTTGAAGTTGAGTAGGTTCATGTTCAAGCTCATTTCTAATTTTATTGTCTTTTCAGTTGGTTGAGAAATTGTCTGCCAAAGCACCTGATGGTCCAACCAAGATAAAGATATTGACTGAAATTGCCGAGGAGCATAATATCAAATGGGAACCCAAGTCATTTGGAGAAAATGATGCAAAGTCTTCTCAAGACTTGTTGGTAGGTCTGACTAATTTTGGTTTTACTTTGGTTTGTTTCGATATAAATTTTTTGTTGGATTATATTAGTTTGACATTATATATATTTATATTTATATGTTAAGGTTGGACCAAGTTCTTCTGAGAAGTCTGCTTATACAGCACCTTTTCAAATCGATGTTCAACCAGTTCAAGATGAAAGGGGTCCTTCTAATTTACGTACTTCCTCACAACTTAAACCAGTGCATCATGCATCTACAAATTCATATGAGCAGACTGCAAGTGGTGCTACTAGAAAGGGTCAGTCAACAACATCAGGCCTGACTAATCTAGAAATCAGATCTTCAGGTATTTCTGTGAAGATGGTGCTTACACCTGAATTTCTGTACATCTGTTGTGTCTATTACCTGAATATTTGAGATTCTTTCTTACAGGAACTGGAAGTCAAGTAACAGATTTTCAAGATTCATACTCTGAAAACAAGAGTGCTTCTCCTATGAGTAGGCAGAATTGGAACATGGAATTCAAGGATGCTGCCTCTGCTGCGCAGGCAGCTGCAGAATCTGCAGAACGTGCTAGCATGGCTGCACGGGCAGCTGCAGAACTTTCAAACCGTGAGAACATGTCAAGGCAATATTCAAGTGGATCACATACTTCTTCTGTCAGTGGGTTGAGAGATGGAAGACCCCAAGAATATGCCTTGCATGATGACAAAAAAATTTCTGCTGGGCCTGTTGATAGCAATTCCCATAGAAGCAGTTCTGGGATGCACAATGAACAAATTAATGCTAGAGAACAAGATAATCTGGTAGGAGCACCCAATGAATATTACAGGAATAGTCATGAGAACATGGTGAAACATGCCCAACCAGATTCATTAATGTCTGGTAGTGCTTCTGGTGACGATAAATCATTTACCAATGGTTCTCAAATGGCTGATATATATCAGCATAATAATTCATTTGAGCAAAAGAATAGTGATTTGCGTGAAATGAATATAAAAGTACAAGCAGGCAGAACTGAAGAAGATTTTGTGTCCGATCTATATGATGACAGTGATTTGAATACTGAAAGCAATTATCACTTTGTAGATGCTAGGACAACTAGCCAATCTGAAAAAGCTTCCTCTTCTCATCCTGTTGCTCCAACTGATGATCACAATGATAATTTGGACTTGAATGGCTGGAAGACTAAAAACAAAGCGGTGGAAGACCTTTTTGTTACAGATGAAGTAAACAATCCGAGAAACATTATGGAAACAAGTTCTTATAATGATACTTCTGTTGTATTTGACGATTCTGGATCAGAGGATGATGATTATAAATTTAATGTAGATAAGAAGTACATTGGTGAGGGATCTAATTTGTTCGACTCATCACCAGCTAGCAAATCACAAGTTGATCCATTCGAAAATTCAAATTCTTGGAGACACAGGCAAAACATTGATGATGAAAAAGTGACAAGTCTTGATACACCGTCACATTTTTCTGGGGTTTCTGAAATATTTACAATGTCTGCAGTTTCTTCTGAAAAAGAAGACTTGCCTGTCACTTTTGATGATTCAGATGACCCAGGTTCAGATAGCGATGCGGATTTGGTCAAGTCTAAGGTTTCTGGGTTCTCTGATTATGGAAACTCTTTCCTTGATCCAATTGCAAGCCATGGGGCTCTAGGGTCCTCGTCAAGAAATGATAAAAATGCGGGTACTGACAGAAAGTCTTGGTTGTCACCATCTTCAGTTGGTTCAGATACTGTGGAGGAGCATTTTGAGAGAAGGGTAGACACCACTACTGTGTCAGAGAAGAATTTTGGTTATAATGACTTGCCAGCTAGTCAGCCACCTACGAAGGAGAGAAGCACTATATTGGGTTTGGATCTTGAGGCAAACAATGATACTGAAACTCTGGATGACAAGGAATTAAGCTATGGTACCTTGAAGGGTGGTCTTCGCAATAAAGGTTTCAAGCGACCGCCTTATGTTAAGAATACATTAGATGATGTTTCATCTTCATTGGGGGACACTTCAGTCCAGAATGAAAGATCTTCAGTGAGGACTTCAACTGGTTTTGATGCTCCTGTTCAGGACAAGTACACGAGGGAAGTGAGCAGAGGTAACAGGACTGTGGGCTTGGGATCACACAACATATCTTCTGATTCTGATAGTTATCGTGTGGTTGCAAATTCACAAGAGACTCTTACTAGTACTCCTGAACCCCGTTTTCAGAAAGAGCAAAGTGAAGTAAAAAAGAAATCAAGTTCAAGGGCCTCTGTTGCATACTTTGATTCTGAAAATACTGATTCTGAAGATGAATTTCCAAAACAAAATTCAGCCAGTCTTGCCCGTCCTGTTGGTGGAATATCTCGAAGGACATCAGCTCCTTCTAAAGCTGGTACAGGTTTGAGTTCAAAGGACGCTCCTTCGTCCAAAGCTTCTGTGACTCCTGGTACAAAACTTGGATGGAAATCTTCGAGGACTTATGAGAGTGATAATCTAAATTCTTCATCCATAACGAAGAGCTCTGAAAATTATACAGGATCTAGGCCAAGATCATCCGAAAATAAAGCATCTAAGCCTATCTCACAACCTGATAGATCCTTTGATGGAGAAATTTTGAAATCATCTGCAAGGGTGCAACCTTCCAGTTCTCCTAAAACAGTGATAAAGGATAATGAAGAGGGCCAAGAGGCTTTAAATTCTCTACATTCTTTTGGAGATACTTCCTCTAAGCAGAATGTTGGGCACGTTCATCCGAAGTTACCAGACTACGATTCTTTTGCTGCCCACTTCCTGTCTCTTAAGAAGGGTCGTCAATAAATTTCACTTGCTTGCGTATAAGCAACATGGCTACTCGTACATAGTCTTGATGGTTTATCTTTCTTCTGCAGCCTGTATTGTTACATATAAATGCATTATTTAAGATTTGTAGTATTTGAGGAATAAGGATGGGATTTATACGTGTGTGTGTAAACTGAGTCAGAGTGTATAGATTATACTATCTCATTTTTGGTACATCTCTATTTGAGGACTACTGAGTTGAATATTTCACTGTAAATATTCACCGAATGCATTGTATGTTCATTCAACTCAGCTGATTAATGCCACATTTATTCATGCATTTCGCTCATTTACACCATATTCAGTTCATAGACTTCATAATAATTAGTTTTTATGCTAGTAGGATTATTTGTTTGGGGAGCCAGGCCAGCAGTTCAAACTAGTGATTTTACAACCAAGAGGTAGGAGATCAAGTAACAGATCTTTACTCTACCTTTGATTCTTTGAATATATGTTGGCGGACATATCAATGCAACAGCTCAACTGAAATTTTTGACAGAGGACGATTTAATGTGGCATGTTAAGTTATAAAGACTTGACGAGTGTTTAGCTCAGTTTAATTATTATTATTATTTGTTGGATGACATCAATTATCCTGTGGTGGACGTCTAGATGGGTCAAGTTACAATAGACACGTAGTGTTTGGATTGTCACGATTAAGTAAAAAAAGTTGTGTCCTACATAACAGTTATAACTTGTTATAACTTTTGACCTAATGTTCGATTCAACAATTGGTACTAGAGGTAAGTTTGTGTGATTGATTTTCAACGGAAGTAATTATTAAGAGATTATTCGTCGGGTGACATCGGTTATCTCGTGACGGAGGCTTAGATGAATCAAGTTACAATCAACATATAATGCTTAGACTCTTACAATTAAGCAAAAAAGAATTTCATATTAATAGCTACAACTTTTGGCCTAGTTGTAAGCTTTCTAAAGGAAAGTTTTTAAGATGCATTTAAACCCCAAAAGAGTTTATTTTCATCAAAACATCATTTTGGTTTTGGCCAAAGAAATGTTAAGGGTTTTTGTGATGCAGATTATTTTGATTTTTTTCTTAAAAGTCATTTGAATAAAAAAATAAAATTAAGTGTGGTTTGATTTTTGCGATTTTAAAAATGTTATTTAAAAATTAACTAAAAATATGTAATATTATATTTGTTTAAAATCATACATAATAAAATAAAATAAAGTATATAAATACTAAAATATTTTGATCACTTAATGTATTTAACAATTTTTATTTTATTATTTTAATAAAAATATTTTTTTAATACAATTTTAGTTATTATATTAAATATGTTTTCATATATATAGTTTGTGACTTAATTTTTTTTGAACATAATAAATAAATCATGATTTTTTATTCTAAAGTTTAGTTTAATAACTTACAATTTTATAAAAAATACCTTTTATATTATGTGTCAATTTTGTATATATATACACTATACATTTAGAAAATATTTAAAATTACATTTACGTTTTTTAAAAGATTAGAATGAGATTAGTATGCTACAATTTCAGAAAATTTAGATGAATATTGCAGAAACTTATTTGTATTGATGAAATGATTTTGATTTTTAAAACTTTAATTTAATTTAAATATTTAAATAATTTTGAATAAATTTTATACGAATACATATTTAATAATGATTTTTTGGGGGGACAATTTTTTTTAATCAGCGGCTAGATTTGTCCAGTCAAAGCCCAAAGGAGCCTAGTAGCTGCTGGATGGAAAAAAACAAATTGTGTCGAGTTTCCAGAAGTCCATATTTCGCAAATTCATAGATTTCAACGTTGAATTCATAAATTTTAATGATTTTTTAATAACTTTATTAATGGATATACAATTATACATTGTTATGTAAAAGATTTTCCAATTTCAATTAATTAAAAATTAGCTTCAGTTATATTTTTAGAATAATTATTATTAAAATCAATAAATTTATCATAAATAATAATATTTGTGATTAAATATAATGTAAGAGTATATATTTTTTTCCTCAACAAAAAATAGGATAACCAAATTGATTTAAGATGAGTGTTAGTAGCATAAGTTTTATGATACTTTTTTTAAAAGGTTTTTTACACACTCTTATTCATTAAAATTTATAAAAATTATAAAATCATAACATATATTTATCAAATGAAATATAAGACTCGTTAACTTTTGTTTCTTTTGAAAAAAAATCAACTAATTAAAAAAAATATGTTGAGAAGATTGTGTTTGTAATATTATTGTCTTTGGTTTAATAACTTATGGGTTAATCGATGAACAAAATCAAATAATTTATATTAATTTTCTTTTTCCAACAATCTAATTCAACATGAACTAACATGATTAATTTGATTTTTATTGATCTGGTTTTCAGGATCATACTTTCTAAAATCGAACCTATTGTTTTGTTAATCATATATATATATATATATATATAACAATGCCTTAAATTTGGAAGATGAAGATTCCACCTAGACTACTGTTCTAGTGTGGAGGCTACACCACAATGGAATACCAACAACGGATAATCTCCTGAAAAGAAATGAACTGGTGGCTGTAAGGGAAACCCAAAACAGAACAATACAGATAATAATGGAATAGTAGAAAAAATTAAGGGTACTATAATTCCTCATCCATTATAGAAGCTTCTAGTATAGAGTCATGATGAAATTGAAAGGAATAATGCAGTTTTGGAAATGTACCCAAAAACAGAAATGCAAAACGAAATGAAGCAGAAAGAAAAAGATGACAGAAGATCCTGAGAGAGAAAGGATCACAATTCAATTTTCTCCACGCATTCTCTTTCCTCTAACTGTCTCTTTTATATTATTCTTTGAGCCAATAGTAATCCTTGAGCTTGCTATTAATTATTTTGGGCCTGGACCCCCTTTTGACCTCAGCTTGTCTTTCTCTCACGTGCTCCTCATTTCCTTAATTAACAATAGTCTCTTTTGCCCTCTCTTGCATCGTTACAATGCCTCCCCCTTTAAGATTAACCTTGTCCTCAAGGTTAAAGTCTGGAAAAGCTTGTTGTAGTAATGTAGTATTTTCCCAAGTAGCTTGGTCATCATCCAATCCCTGCCATTGGACTAATTTCTGATGAATTTGTTGCTGACCCTGTAAGATAACCCTCTCTTGTAATATCTTTGTTGGCTGAATGATTGGCTGTACTTCAACATCTGTAAATGGAAGTGGAATATACGGTTGAGTATGATCTCCCTTGCAAGCCTTGAGTTGTGAAACATGAAACACTGAATGTATTTTGGTTGTGGGAGGAAGTAAGAGCTTGTAAGCAACCAACCCAATCCTTTCAATCACTGGAAATGGGCCAAAATACCTTAGACTGAGTTTTTGATTCTTTCTTAAGGTAACTGAATGTTGTCTATAAGGTTGTAACTTAACCAAAACTAAGTCACCAATATGAAATTCCCACTGTCGCCGTTTCTGATCTGCATACTTCTTCATGTGTGCTTGGGCTTTGATTAAGTTTTGCTTCAATTTATTAAGTGTGAGGTCTCTAGTCAATAGCTACTCTTGAATTGATACAGGATCAGATTGATCAATTGTATATTTAATTAACTTGGGTGGATCTCTCCCATAAACTACCTTAAAAGGTGTCATACGACTGCTATTCTGAAAAATAGTGTTATACTAGAATTCAGGCCAAGGCAATAATTTAGCCCATTCCTTAAGCGACTAATGAGTGAAGCACCAGAGATACACCTCCAGACATTTGTTAAGAGCCTCAGATTGGCCATCTGACTAGGGGTGATAAGCAGTAGTAAGATTAATTGTAGTGCCACTAAGTTTAAACATGTGTTGCCAAAACTGACTAGTGAACACCTTATCCCTGTCAGAGACAATAGTTTTGGGAAATCCGTGTAGCTTTACTACATTCTTAACAAATATCTCAGCCACTTGCTTACTAGTGTAATTAGTCTTCATAGTAAAGAAGTGGGCATATTTGGATAGTCTATCGATCACAACAAGTATCACTGTGAACCCGTGAGAGGGTGGAAGTCTTGTGATAAAATCCATTGCCAAATCATCTCAAATTTGCATTGAAATAGGGAGAGGTTGTAATAAACCAGCTGGTAAAGTAGTCTCACTTTTGGCCTGTTGACAAACTAGACATTGTTGCACAAATTCTTTAACATCTTTATGCATACCTTGCCAATAAAATTGAGCAGCAATTCTGGCCAATGTTCTAGTCACACCAGCATGTCCACCCAATAAGGATGTATGGAATTCATGTAAAATTTGCTTTACCAATTGATGATTGGGAGGGATCACCAACCTGCCTTTCCAGTACAACAAGTGATCCTAGACTGAATAATGAGGGTCTAGTGCTTTATTCTGCAAGCATAATTCCATTGTAGTGTGTAGATGAGGGTCATCTTGAATTACCTCCTTCAATACATGAATAAACTGCAATTTTGGTTCCGAACAAGCCATATAAAAGGACCTTGAGAGTGAATCTGCAGCCAGATTTTTCTTGCCCAGTTTGTATTCGATAGAAAAATCATATCCTAGCAACTTGTGCAACCATTTCTGTTGTTTTGGAGTTTGGATAGCCTAATCAGTGAGGGACTTTAAACTTCTTTGGTCAGTTTTGATCACAAATCTATGGCCGAGTAAGTAATGCCTGAACTTCGCAACTGCCTCTGTAATAGCATAAAATTCTCTTGTATAGGCTGACTGTCGTTGCATTCGAGGAGTAAGTTTCTTAGAAAAGAAAGCAATTGGATGTTGTTCTTGACTCAATACAATACCAATTCCCATGCCTGATGCATCAGTCTCCAATGTAAAAAGTTTGGAGAAATCAGGGAGTGCCAACACTGGTGCTCTGGTAATTGCAGCTTTGAGATTTTCAAAAGTAATAGTGATTTGTTCAGTCCAATAAAAATTATCTTTCTGCAATAGACTAGACAAAGGTGCATCTATGGATGCATAGCCTTTAATAAATTTCCTGTAATAACCAGTAAGTCCCAAAAATCCTCTGAGCTGCATTATGTTTGTAGGACAAGGCCAATTCAAAATAGCCTGTATTTTGCTTTGATCCATTGCTACTCCCTTCCCTGATACCGTATGACCCAAGTAATCAACTTCTTGCAAACCAAAGGAACATTTAGACAGTTTAGCATACAAATGATACTGTTGTAACACTTTAAGGACCACCTCTAAGTGTTGCAAATGTGATGGCCATGTGGGACTGTATATTAGTATATCATCAAAAAAAATCAATACAAACTTTCTAAGATAACTTTGAAAAATGTCATTCATCAAGCACTGAAAAGTAGCAGGGGCATTTGTAAGGCCAAATGGCATGACCAGCCAATCATAGTGGCCCTGGTGTGTTCAGAAAG